TTTGGAAGAACATTGGAGAAGTTTTACGGAAACACTGAGCTCCCCAAAATACTACAGCTTTCAGCCGCAGTCCTGGACGCAGCGCTCCTGCAAACCCTCTCCCCTAAGAGCAGCCATCAATCCGGTAATGAATTCCCAGTCCTCGTTTCCCATTAAATCCTTGTGGATTTAGCAGGGGTAGCAGGGGTAGCAGCTCCCGTAGCTGTATCTACGGCTGTAGCAGGAAGAGTAGGGGTAGCAGTAGCGGGAGCTGTAGGAGGGGTAGCAGTCCCGATAACCGCACAGGCTCCCGTAGCTCCGGTAGCTGCAAGGGCTGCCGCAGTCGTAGGGGCGGGAGGCGGACTCCCGTAGTTGCAGGGAGAGTAGCAGGCGTCATCGCACTGGTTCTGGTAGTAGTAAGTCATCTTGGTGTGATGGAGGGAGGTGGGTCTGAAACGCAACAGGGGAAAAAAAAAGCCTGTAAGACAGTGCTCCCAACAGCAAGTAAATCTCAAATAAACGCTGCAAGGAGGGGCAGGAGAGCCAGCAATCCCAGGCACCCTCTGTGCTCATCTATTGTTCTATCCTGATTTTTGACGCTGGGTCTTCCCCCTCATTCTCCGTCCTGACCAGCCTTTCTGAGCTTTCCCGCAGAGTCCCACTGGCTGCGCCCGGGGATCACGATGGGAGATGGGGTTGTGAACCGTGACGCCCGTGTCAAAAGGGAGCCGCCGGGAAATAAACAGGAAAATCCTTCATAGCCATACTGAGATAAAGACTTTAAGGGAAAAGAGGGATAGACACAGGACAGACACAGCTTCAAACCCGCAAATATTAATGAAAATCCAGTGAGGAAAGAATAACTTACATATAAATAATTCTCATCAAATCACAATCTTAATTCCCAAAGCATTAGTCGAGATTAGTAACTGGGGGAGAGGGGGAGGGGAAGAGAGGGGGGAACAGTATCAAATCCTTCCCTTCGTTATTCACTAGATTTTCTAAATCTGTTCTGACTTACCCACTACTGCAAGGAGGATAAGGCAGGAGAAGCGAATACATTATTCTCAGCGGAGCGGGTTTTTATAGAGCTCCCAGTCCCGCCCAGCGCGCGAAAGGCATGTCTCCAATTACCAAACACATTTTGCTTCCCTCATGACTCCTTCTCATTGATATACCGGTTCTCCCCGGGGTTTCTGATTATTGGTCCGGCACTGTGACACGCAGGCTACACCCTCCAGGTTTCTTTCATCTCAAAACTATATAGGGCAATTAAGTCTTGGTATCATTGTGCTGAATTCCCTTCTTCGGTACAGCAACAAATCAACAGAATATGCAGAGACATACAAATTACCAAACACACCACTTTTGGAAGACCAGCCTCGCCACGCATGTTGGTCCACGTAATTTGTTGTACTTTTTTTTTTTTCTGAAATACTTGTGGAAGGGGTAGCCTCTCTTTTTCATGTATTTCATAACTTTAATGACACATGAAACAGCACGTTCTTGCCAATCCCTTCCAACATTTCCTGTGGCCAACAAAGGGGGAAAGACCATTTCTTTGATTTGATGCCATCACGCAAATAGGATATTGCTGTGCTGATTGATTCAGCTAGAAAATTGGCCTATAAGCATTAAAATGTCATGTGTATGACGTATTTTTGGAGAAAAAACTTCCAGAGACCCAATTCCGAAGCTATAAATTACAACCTTAATAAAGCATAGAAACAGGATAGCCTGATATACGTTTTTAGAAACTGTGTTACATAACACTGGGGCGGTTTCCAGTAACGTAGTATTAATATTTAAATAATAAATCTCTTTGTACAGGTAAATCTTTAATAAGTATTAATGAAGGCTTTGATATTCAAAATTTAGAGAAAGGCCCAGCACATCTGACATGCCTGTTATTATCCTTCGTTTAGATGCGAGTAAACAGCAGTGTTTTGAGCTGAAGGTCACCAGGGAAGACCGGGATGTTGCTGCTTACCAGGTCACATTCACAGAGCTCCGCATTATTCACTGTCATTAGCAACATTAAGTTAAACACCTCAACACCATTAAGAAGATGTCACGTTGAACCATATTTAGCATTTGAGGGACTTCTCGGGAAAACTATGCTTATTACAGAGATATGTTCCTGGTTGTTTTATCTTGTTCCTTGTAATGAACCCCTCAAGTGAATCATTTTCTGATCTAAGCGTAAACAATCACTAAGCAGATATTTTTGGATTCAATTAAATTTGCATCGCTTGGGCTGGTTCTCCAGAAGAAGGAGGTTTTACGTTTATTTCATCTATGGTGCAGAGCCTGGAAATTTCAAATATTGTTATTTCTGCTT